ATCTAATACGGGGTGCCCACTACGACTGAATCGGGCCGATCGCCCGACTCGGTCACCTCAAAAACAAACGTGTTTGTTTTCAGTTTCACGCGACCGAGTCGGGCGACCGGCCCGATTCAGTCGTAGTGGGCACCCGGTATTAGATTAGAAGAGTTACAAGAGAGTAACAAACACAAAAAGAAAGAGGGTACATGAGGTCGTTAAATGTTCGAAAGGATAGGAGGAGCAAATCCCACCAGTGTGCCGTCCAACCACCCGTTGTGGTGATCTGTCTAAATTTGGTTGAAACCATAATATTTACACTTACAATTGCTATACAAAAACAAAAACAAAATCAACAGTACAAAAATAACAACACAAAAATCCCCCACAAAAAAACAAACAAGCCAATTTTAAAAAAAGATCACAACAAAATCAATTAAAACAAATCCAAAACAAAGAAAGACAGGCAGGGTGAACACTTACCTAGCAGACTGTCCTTGACCTTGGGGTTTCGTTCAGATTAAATCCTCCTCCTAATTGAAAAGCCAGAGAGTCTGGAGGTGAGGCTCGAGGAACAGCCTGTAAAGACAAATAGATCCGGGGTTAATGAAGGATTGTCTACTGTGACCCACACAATATTGTTAAGAAGCACAACTGTACGAGAGACAGAGAGGGGTGGGGTGAGGAAGAAAACAGAGATAAGGTGGGTAACGGAGAAGAGAAATGGGGAAGAAGAGGAGAGATGAGGAAGAGGAGGAGAGATATAAGCAACATGAGAGCGGGAAAAGAGAAGGTGAGAGAGAAAGAAAGAGTTTAGTTTCAGTAGAGGTTTTATGGCGCTCGCAACTGCATAAGGGCATTTGAGCGCAAGAAGATTTAAGAAGAGGTGCTACAAGAGAGTAACAAACATAAAAAGAAGAAGGGGAGATAAGGACGACAGATGTTTCATGGGAAAAAAGAAGCAAACCACAGCAGAGCACCCACCAACCACCCACAGTAAGAAAGAGCAAGAGAGAGATAGAGAGGTACAGAGTGAGAGAAGGAGAGGAGGGGAGACACAGAGAGAGGGAGGGGATGGGGAGAGACAAATACACCCTGGGTTAATGAGGAATTATCTACATTGACCCACATGTAGTCTTATGGAAGACACCATTGAACGAGAGGGGGGTTTGAGAGAGATAGGCAGACAGAGAGAGAGAGAGAGA